AACTCTCGTTCTTCTTATTTTTCTGCTGATATTAATGATATTATTTATCACTTTATCAGTAGGTATAAAATGAAAAGTAGATTTAATGAAGACATAGATAGATTACTAATGCATGCATAGACGGATGGATGCACAGATGGATATACAGCAAGGAATTCAGGCTGAGTATATGAATATGAAAGAATAGAGTTGAACTTCAATGAAATACATTATAGAACGTTCATACAATATACTCTTAGTTCCACCTTTACTTGTCACATTTTGTTTGTTTCTATCATCGTTATATCATCAGTATTAATAATGCAGCTACTCACCGAATACAGTTGAAAGCTTTCCTCTGCGCCATAAAAAAGGAATTGTAAAAAATTGAAGAAATGTATTTATTCATTTATTTATTATTCACTTACTGGTTCTCGGATTTACAACAGTATCGTTTCAATTTATAATATCATCATCAGATCTGGAAAGTTATCTTATAATCATTCTGATATCCTTGCCGTGTACAATAAGTGCGACTGAATATGGCGTTTCAACGCCGAAAATTCTTGCAATATCCACTATAATATACCTACGGTTACCAAACCCTTACTAGTGTTCATTATTATTCTGCTGTTCTATTCATGCTCTTATGAATATTACAGTAATTATTTCTACCTATTTATAAATTATTCATCATCGAAATTCGTTACTCAATATGCTCATCACAATGCAAACACATTCATTTATCTTAATCACTTCATTCAATAATTATCGAACATCTTTCATCCCATCACTCACTTCATGTATATCAATGTGTGCTACATTTTCAACGAATAATTCCATCAACTGGTATACGGTAGCCAATAAACGTTTACCTCGCTCGAAAAGATATTGTTGTAATCTGATAGACTGATAGATGGATAGATAGACAATTTATAACTCGTTTTCATGCTACTCTTATATCTTTATCGTCTAACCTTCTAGCATTCTTGCTGATAACGACTTAGTTTCATCCTCCTTTTTCTTTTGCCTTACACACCCCTCCCTCACTCACTCACTCATAAACTCTTCTCTTCTCTCTTTCCTCATCATTCTTCCGTTTTTTTAGTGCTCTTCATTTATGTCATTTTTTTCATTCTCTCTTTGTTCTTCCCTCTTAAATTGTCGCTGATTAGTTTGCAAGACAAATGACGAATAAGATGATTAAACGAAACAATTGATGAATTAATTGAATAATCTGTTCAATTTTCTGGTGTTCAATCAAATGAGTTGATTACATTATTACTTACAATTATTACTACTACATTATCAGAATCATGTCAAGAAAATATGTGAAAAGAAGTTGAAACGAAAAGAACAACAACATTTACTTGCAATCATTGGCTCAGTCAGTAATAATCCCATAAACTTCACATTCGTTTCCAGCTAATCCCTTACCCACCTTTCCTACCCTGCCATAATAATGAGCACACTAACGATGCATTTACTCATAGTAGATAATGTTTCTGCGAGGTGCAATAAAATTATCTAACAACACTCTAAAAAGATCGTCACTGTTCAGGTTGGTTTGAAAACGAATGGAATGCATGGATGAGGCGATGGATGGATGCATAATGATGGCACATTTAAGGTGTGTAGATAGATACGAGTGATATCGTCATATCAGATAAACGACCTTTATGTTTGCTCAAGTTCTTATTCACTCGTAGACGATTTATAAATGCTGTTACATTCATTCATTCATATACAATGTTTATGCTTGGTTATAATATTTTGTTGTGCATAAATAAATACGCATTCGTATACATTGATAGATTCATTACTACTGCTGCTGTCATTGCAAACTTTCTTTTCTCTTATCAGAAGACGAATCTAAGGTGAATGAGTTGAGTAATGAGTGAAGAATATAAAATGAGGTGAGACGACAATCAAACGAAGCAACTGTAATAATCACACTTCTAAGTGTTTCATGAGAAGGTTCTTTCCCAAATCATACACTGAGCCATTGTGTCGATGGATCCACCTCATCATTGCTGCTTTCACAAATAACAATACTGACAATTATAACAGTCATAATGATAATAACGACATAAAATAGAACCATATGCATATGTTTATCCATACAGCAATTCATTCAGCCATCTACCAATAACATAACAGATAATAAGCGTTTCGGTACCAAAAACTTATTTATTCTTAATTAATCCACCTGGATAATCATTTATGATTGGATGAGAATGAATCAGTTAATGGATATTATTAACGATTAAATGAATGAATTTGTAACCATAGTCATTTTCTTTACGAATCTACCTTTCTACTTATCCACCCTTCCAAATCTATCTATAAATCTGCTTATCCACTCATCTATTCATAAATACTTAGAAGGTAAACGCTTATAACAATAATCTGAATGCATGACTGAGTTATGCAACACATTTACAACCCACTGCTCAATTAATCACTCACATGTTACTGGAATGTGCAAAATTAAAAAAGTTAAAGTTAATCGGTATCATCAACTTCATCACCATCTAAGCAACTGTACCTCCATCTGAATCAATTGCATTCGATCCCCTTAACTCACTACCATCAAACATCATCAGAATTATTATTCTTCTATCGATCACAACCATATAACTGATCTACAACCCATCCATCCTTCTATCTGCTGTCCCTCATTCACCTCATCAATACGTATCATTCACATCAATATCTCATCATCAACTTATGAGCATATTACCTATTTCAACTGTAACCTTCAACTATAATACATCAACAATCATTTAAGTCGCTGGTTTCCAACTTGTTTTGCTCCGTGGACACCCTAGAAAATTTTAAGATGCCCTCGGACCCCCTGCAACATAATTTTGTGAGAATCTGAAGCAAAACAAAACAAAGATATTTCAAAAAATGAAGGTGGGCAGTAGAATGCTGAGTTCACAACCCGATATGCCTCGCCTACTTTAATTGATAAAAAATAAAACCTCATCTCGACCTCCTCTCGCACCTCTCATCGCACCCACTCTCCAACCCCTCTCACCCCACTCTTTCTCGGACACCTTGACATGCCGCCTCAGACCCCGGTTGGGAAACCCTGATTTAAGCAATACTTGTCATTTCATAGCTTTAGAATACCACATGTTTATTTATCGTTCTACGTACCCATCTCCGTTCAATCATTTATTCACTCATTCTTTCACTTGTTTATTCATTTTTACCTGATTACTACTATTACTATCATTATTGGTAATATTATCAATACTATTCTGCGAGGAAAACAAAAGCACTGTTATGAAAATGAACACCTT